TGATGTTTGCAAAATTAATTTATGTTGCTCCCAACAGAATACACATGTACGATGAGCACATTTCTTACATAAGTAGCAACACCTGGTTAGAAAGGCACAATTGACTTGGAGAAGAGTTTAGATCAAGAAATTTGTACTAGCTCATTTCATGAGCGAGGCGATATGGTGGACGAGCTCCCATGCTCCTGCTAAGTGGACCAATGGGACAGTTTGATGCTAGAGGTGTCATTTACTGCTTGGTAACGGAGAGTTGACGAAGCCGTGAGTGAACGTTTGGGTGGGCTGCACATGACAGGTGTACAGTTGGTAGACGCTGCTATTTTGTGGGTACTTTTTCGTGAGTAAAAAGGGCTAGCAATATACTTCCTCTATTTCACAAAAAAAGCAACATGCATCCTTTATTTCACAAAAAAAAGCAACATACTTCCTCTAAAACAGATAAAGTTAGCAGGACACTCTCGTAAAAATGCTAGTGGGGTGAACACTCTATTATCATTATTTTCCTTTGGTTCTCTTTACATTTTATTTCCAGCTTTACTATTCTATTGGGTAAAATACAAGAGCTAAAAAAAAAGTGTTCATGTACATCGAAGGAATGTTCGCGGATATAACAAAAGTTCTTGTGTATTACAAAAAAGTGTGGTAAAAAATGTTCATCATGTTAAAAAATCATGTTGTATTTAAAATCTTATCTGCCATACACTAAAAATTATTCATACCATAGTTCAAACATGTTTATCATGTGATATAAAAATACCCATCATGCGTTAACACTCTTTATTATAGTTACATGAATTTTTTTTCTTAAATGTGTGAACAATTTTTAAAAAGTGTTCATCCTGTAATAATAAAATTCATCAGCTAATTTAAAAATTGTGCCTCATGTATTTAAAAAATTCATTGTGTTTGTCAAAATTGCCCATAGTATAATTCAAAACCTTTAACAATACATTGAAAAGTGTTCATTTTGTATTAAAAATGTTCAGCCTGTATTTAAAAAATATTCACCATGTATTGAAAATGTGCATGATATATCTTTAAAAAACACAGTGTACTAAAATATATCTGTTGTGCATCTTAAAAAAGAATCATCATGCATTAAAAGTTTATTATTTGTGTATCATAAAATGTGTGTACTTTAAAAATGATTCGCTCGGTGCGTAAACCATGTCATGAGTGTGACACGCGCCACACAGGGCCCACACACATCTATCCCGAATCTTCTCCCCACTCTCGTCTTCTCCGAATCCTCATATATCGACGCGTTCTAATCTCTCCACCTCCTTCTTCCAACCACCTTCTCTAGCATCTGTGCGCATTGCTGTGGCCCAGATGTCGCCGCCGACGGAGCTCCAATGCAACGCCGCCGGTGCTGCGACCCGGGCCTCGCCACCGGTCAAGCTCCAATGCAACGCCGCCGGTGCTGCGAACCAGGGCCTCCCCGCCGATGGAGCTCCAATGCAACGCACTGCTGTGACCCGGATGCCCATATGTCGCCGCCGGCGGAGCTCCAATGCAACACTGTCGGTGCTGCAATCCGAGGCCTCGCCGCCGAACGGAGCTACAATGCAACACGATGTTGTGATTCGAATGCCCAGATGTCGCCGTCGGCGAAGCTCCAATGCAACGCCGCCGGTGCTGCGACCTGGGCCTCGCCGCCAACGGAGTTCCAATGCAACGCTGCTGGTGCTGTGACCCGGACCTCGCTGCCGATGGAGCTCCAGTGCAACGTGTTGTTCAATGTTTAATGTTTGTTTGCAAAATGTTTGCCATGTCTTTGAAAAATGTTCAATGTTTGTTTAAAAAATGTTCAATGTGTATTTAAAAAATGTTTGCCATGACTTTGAAAATTGTTCAATGTTTGTTTAAAAATGTTACTGTGTATTTTAAAAATGAAAGGTAGTTGAGTGTGCAACTGTAGTTGCGCGTGACCAATCGATATACAGTTGTGCGTCACGGACGTGCAACTTCAGTTTTGCTCACGCAAGATGACTTGTTGTGCGGTGTGTGGATAAAATAAAATCAAACTCAAATAGATATAAATCAATCAAACGAAAAAGATTCTTATAAACCTTCACGCAAAATCAAATGGCATAAGAGTTGGATAGACTTTGTTAATTCATTTCTAGGTTAGAATTAGTAAATGATGTTTAAAACTACACGAGGATATTTTCACAGCGATGAAGATTTGTTTCCATTAAATGGAGAATTTGCTTTCAGAATGATTTACGAAGCACTGAACCATCAATAGAAAAAAGAACAATACAAATCATAGTTCGTCCATTCATTCAGAATGAATTAATGATATGTGCAACTCAAAAGAAAAGGAGTAATGATACATGGAATCCAGTTCCAAACTGATGCATTAGTCAAGACTTCATATGTGCTTCACGCTTGTCACCTACGTGAGAAACTTTCCTTATGGGCCAACGGTACATGATGGAATGAGTCACCTGGACTGCGCAATGGGCCCCATGATTCCTAACATTAATAGTATACTCCTGCCAGTTCAGATCTAGAGACAAACATGCATCGGGGATAAAGTGTGCAGGCGAGGACGAGCGCTCCTTTCAATTTTCGCTCATTTCATCATCAAATGTAGTAGGTGAAATCAATGAGATATGGAAGTATGAAGCTTCAAGAGAACATTATATATTATTTCAGATTATTGTTTGTTATTTTTTACATTCTTGAAGTAGTGTATCTTTTTAAATGATTACTGTTCAAATCGTTGTGTAATTAACTATTTTGAGTCTGCGTACCAGTATAACGGCAATGTCCCTTCACATTATAGAAAAGAATGAGGAATCATATTTCACCAATAGGTACTAATCATGGTAACACATCACTATATGTCTTAATTTCTTTCTCGTGGTTGGTATGTTTGTTTTCTTCTCTGCATATTAAACAAACCTCTTGTATTCAATATATAAAATATAAAATTCAAATTACTATGTTTAATTGCTGAATACTCATTTTATGTGCAATGTGTAGGTTGTTCTGAGCAGGGAACGGAATACATGTCCAATTTTTGGCAACCTGAAGACCCTGTCTCTTGGCGAATGGTGTATGACTGCAGACTTTGATGCATCAATTTTCTTGCTGCAGCACTCACCTAATATACAGAAGCTCTTTCTCCAACTTAAAATTGTATGTGTAATTACATATTTGGGGCTTGTGCTTACTTGATTATCTTTTAGTTTTGAGTACTTTAGCACATGCTTAACAACAACTTTTTTATCTGCAAAAGAACTTCAATGCCAGAGAGGCATCAGAAACAGGTATCAAACTACAGGGAAGATCATTTACTTGCAAAGATCTTCGAATGGTGAAGATCACATGCTCAAAGGATGATGGGAGAGTCCATAAGCTGGCAAATTTGTTTATGGCAAATGGTATACCAGTCGACAAAATTTATGTCCGCCACAGCGGGAGTGCTTGTGAGTCATACCTTCTCTTCAGATAGCATTTTGTATTTATTTTCATTATCAGTACTTTTACTTGCTTGTATGTTCCTGTGCTATTTGCTGACGGATGTCCACTGCATACTGTCTTGTTCCGCTTTCCCTGAAAAGCCACATGCTTTTATGTGCATATATAATCTGCTTAATATCTTGTCACCATTCTGTTAAATTGGAAGTATGTTTTGCTAACTTAACTATGTTCCTTCTGTACATGATCCTAGACTACACACTTATACACTCCCTGATATTTCTACCAGATCTCCGCAGCCAGAAGCAGATGAAGGAGTTCTGGGGGATGTAATATCCAACATCATCATGAGCAACTGATCGTGCTCTCAAAGCTGCGCTGGGTTTCTTGATTGCCTCTTTTTTGGTAACATGGATGCCGTTGGTGATAATTGGATCGTTGGAATGTTGTTGCCGGTGGGATAAGCTGAGAAGTTCATCTAGTAGTAGGTCTAGCCTCTAGTACAACTTTGCTTTGTTCCTGGAACGGATATGAATGCTCGTTGTTTGAATGCTTCAGACTTGAGAGTGGTGCATCTGAGTCTGTCATGCGTTGTGCTATGCTCCAGTAAGCATTGATCATGTGGTGAGTTATAGGCGGCTTTAGTACCGTGCAAATTCTGATGTCGTGTAAAAGGAAATGAACCTTCATTCCGATTCTAGCGATGAAGGTTTACATTGTCGTCTAACTATTCAGATTTCGCTGCTGGGAATGTCATGATAGGAATGAAACACACTAATCAGTTTGATTTTAGGATTGCTTGCCACCAGCATACAGAATAAGTTATTCTTCACCCGAGGTGATCTTACGATCGCTTCATAAACAAATTACGTTTGGAATGCAAATAGTAACATTTATATTAATTCACTACATAAAATTTGGTATAAGAAAACAAAAAAATAGATTATAAGATCAAAAATATCACATTTTTATGTATATTTTTACGTTCGTAACTTTACATAACATAAAATATTTTTTACGGCGAGTATATATTTTCTTACGTTCTCTTTTTACGTATGAAATAGGACAAAATTTATGAAACCTAAAAACACAGTGCATTGACGTCAAAATAGAGAGGGGGTAAAGAATAACTATTCCTCACCCAGGGTGACGAATAGCGCGACCCTATATATATATATATATATATATATATATATATATATAAATGCAAATATGCTTAGTCTTCACTGCAACCGGCCACGGGAGGGTGGAAGCGAACGACTTTGTGAGCAACAACAATGGATCATCGCGCACCACACGGGGCAAAACCGAGCAACCATAGACGGGTGGCAACGACATATTTGATGCCCTGTGCGAATAAAAGGCATAATGCTGGAATTGTAGATAAGTTTACAAATTATTAATTTCCCAGATGCAGAGCCGGTCCATCTCTGTATACATATCCATGCATGACAATTTGTTTCCTCCCCATGAAAAAAATATTATTCATTTCCCTTCATTCTAATTTTTCCGATGGACAGAAACATCAAAGCTTGGCCCACTACGTTGATTAATCACAACGATGAGACCTATGGGCAAACGTGGAGGCACTCTTCCTGCGTTCGCCAGCAAGGTAGTCCTGGCAATGTTGCACAACAGAATTCTACGTTCTCAGGGCCGTGCCTCCTCCCTATGCACACTTTTGGGAACGGGGTGTCGTCTTTGCCTATGGCATCGCCATCCGAAAGACGAGGACAACCTGATCTGCCGATCTCACCATCTGCATGGGACAGAGAATGCATTGCGTGCATGCACATACATCAGACGGCTTGCGCCAAAAACAATATAACAAGTGAAAAACAGGCACATACATACGACATGCATGAGAAAAATAGCAATCCCTCCATTTTAAAATGCAAATGTTTTTTAGTTTGTACTCCCTCCGTAAACTAATATAAGAGCGTTTAGAATACTAAAGTAGTGATCTAAACGCTCTTATATTAGTTTACAGAGGGAGTATTCAACAATTAGGTAACTTTTATGGTATGAAAGCATACTCACAAGAAAATTATTTGCAGTACAAACCTAGTAACAGTAAATATATACGGGTATAAAGCAATTGTTGGTCACAATCTAATCCTAACTTTTGTAGTGTACGTTGAAAACAGATGGAGCATATATATTACCAGTTGAGGAGACCAACATGAGCATGGAACATCCAAGGAGCACAATGAACAAAACCGCGGCTGCCTTGGCTTCCATCTGGCCGTTGAGTCTGCTGAACGCCATGTTTTGATCCCTAACTTATATGAGATACTTAGATGTATGATGAACACAACTGATGTGCTCAATCGAGTCAGGCCCTGGGCTATTTATATACCAGGACACAGCACACAAGGTAGACTTAGTCAATTCATTATAATGACAATAATAAATAGACATCACACATTCGTAGGATAAGATAAGCACACGATTACTTAAAGCACTCCTATCTTTAAGTTATAAATATCATATGCATTAAATGTGTGTTTATATATATATATCTCATCAATGGATTGTATCTTATTGTACTCTAAAATATTTATCATTTAGTGTTTTTTGTGAGAGAGAAAATATGAGTTGCTTTGATTTTTGTGTGAAGAGCTATATCTATATTAAGACAAGATAACTCTCTCTTTGCTTATTAATAGGATGCCACATTAGATTTTTTACTTAGGTGTCAAAATTATGATATAGTCCAAAATAAGTTTATGAAATATTAATTTCCTTTGCAGCGTCCCCTCCCACACATCTTGCATTAACTCGATCAAATCAAACTAAATCCTTTGTAGCACCCTCGTTGGTGGGTATAAAATAATTACATTAACTCAATCAAATCATTTTAGCTATATATATATATATATATATATATATATATATATATACCTGCTAAACTCAGCGTGCGCGCATTATAACTTAGCATACGCTCCAGCCGCCCATCGACCCAACTGGGCCATACGTGCTAATTAGCCGGAGTGCGCTCACTCCACCAGAAAATCAACCGTAAAGAATTTACGACCATCGTCTTGTACATGCACTTAACCAGGCCCGCGTTCCTCCGAAAAAATCAATAGTAACGCATTACGATCAAGTTAACATATCCAACACCTCGCACTTGGACCATTAATTTATGGTAACTGACGATCGTCGCATCGTAAAAGAGCCCAACAGTTAATTGCTACCATCAGTAAATTGGGCCTGCAGTAGTAGTAATGATATTACCATCTAGTAATTTGCATGCACTCCATTTTTTTCCTACTGTGAGCATGTAGTAATACATTTTGACATGTCCACACTAGGTTTACTACATATCTCACTGCCCATCTGTTTGCTTTACGATCCACTACAAGAGAAATTACTACTGCCAGTTTGTGAGCATGTAGTAATACATTACTACATATCTCGGCCAGGTTTACTACATATCTCACTGCCCGGTAATAAAACTAACTTTATTACCGTGTACACTACATCTGTTACTTTCAATAATTAGTAGCCACTTTCAAAAAAAAAAAAAAATTTGTAGCCCAAAAGAATGAGGTAACGGACCAGCACATGGTAACAGAATTAAATGCGTTACTTTTCCTAGAACTGTCGGTTACCCCCAAAATTTCTGTGGTGGTCAGCGCCATCCGCGCGCCTAAGTTGGTTCGTCCGGAGCGTAGATTAAGCAGAATGCGCGCTCGCTTA